AACCCCCCCACCCCCCACTGGTTTTTGTACTGATTAATGTTCAGTTCTCAGTGCAGGAGGCCCAGTTAGTCACATGACATGAAATCCCACTAGATTTTTACTATAAAAGCAAACAATAAGAGGCCAGATGTTGTGGGCTCCTGAGCTGGTGGAAAGTGGATAATTTGGCATTTGAAATATATTGTAAAATGAGTGGAATAAAGAGACCAAGGTCTATTGTTTGGGAAGACTTTGAGAATTAGAAAACAATACAGTGAGGTGTATGGTTTGTGATCAGCACTTGACATGCCACAATGATACCTCATTGTGATGAGAGGGGCGGGGCCGAGAGCCATGGGAACGGAGCGAGTGAGTTGCCTGAGGGGCGGACGAACTCGCTGCCGGCCGCCTGGGATGTGGAGGGACGGCTGCCGTCCATAAGGGAGCGGAGGAGTTGCCGCCATTTGCCTGAGGCCGGAGCCTGCTGCCATCCGCCATGATGGGGAGGAGCAGGGAACGGGGAACTCCTGCCGGCTGCCTGAAGCCAGAGGAGCCTTCGCCGTCCACCGGGCGGCGGAGGAGTGTCGGGCCGTCCACCGAGGGCTATCCAGTGCCGCCGCCAGGCATCGCGGAAGAGTTTACCCAGCTGGTGGAGGGCCGAGCGGCAGTGTGTCTGGGAACCGGAACAAGATTTTTTTTTTTCCCTCTCTCCCCTCTCTCGTCTCTGTCTCTCCTCATCCTTCCGTCTCCTTTTCTCTCACCTCGTCTGTCTGTCCTTACCCCCAGGTACGCCGCGGCCGCCGTGATCGGCTCCCCCAGAGGGGGGGAGTAGAGCGCAGTCTCGTGGGTACCCCCCGGCCTGCGAGGGGCGATGGGGGTATGTGACGGGAGGGGCGGGGCCGAGAGCCGTGGGAACGGAGCGAGGCCGGTGGAGTACATGCTAATGCGTGACACCTGTGCCACTCACCGGTCTCAAGTCCCACGGAGGAGCTCCGGAAGGATAAAAGGAGGAGTGACGACAGTGTTGGACAAGAGAGGACCAGGCCTGGATTTTATTTTGTGTTTTGGTTCTGTTTGTGCGCGACAGTCGTCCGCGAGGGGCTGTCGCGCTCTTTTGTGTTTGTTTATTTTATCAAAGTTTTCTTTGAGCGTTCGACCGGTTCCCTCCTCCTTCTTCCCGAACTACGAACTTTGTTACACTCATCAATGTTGCTCAATGTTGATGGGCGTACATCTGGTGGAGCTGAAACATCTGGTGTACCTAGACAAGTTAAGTATACATTTTCACACCAGATCTTCTGGGCCTCTAATTACCAAAAGTGGTAGGATAATATTGGAAGTCCTCAAAGCCTAAAAACGCTGTATATTATAAATGACAATCACACAGCATTCAGTTTAATGTTAGTGTTTTTCAGCAAGGCAAAAGGACATTAATGAAGCTCTAGTGGACATGATAATCAAGGATTTGCAGCCATTTTTAGTGGTGGAGGATGAGGGCTTCAGGGCTTTTGTAAAGAAGCTTGATCCAGCATATGTGCTTCCCACAAGGCATGTGCTGAAGGACATGGTCACTGCAATGTATGAAGTGACAAAAGAGAAGGTGCTGGAGGCTACCTCGTTCAGATCCAGCACCAATGCCACTGGGAAACTGTCTGCAATCCAGCAGCATGATGGCAGGCCAAAAAGAAGCTGATTCAGGAGGTGGAAACTAGGTGGAACAGCACATTTTTCATGCTTCAAAGAGTATGTTGGTGCGGCTTTGACTTCTTTGAACACCAACATTACACCCTTGACCAGTGGACAGCTTGAAGCCATCTCACAGTGTCTTCAAGCCCTTTCAGCCTTCAATCATGCCACAGTTGAACTCTCCGCTGAGAAAGTGGTCACAGCTTCAAAGATCATAACTATTGTCAGAATGCCTTTTCATAAAATCAATGAAAAGGCACACAAACTGACATCAACATCAGGCATTGACCTCACAAACAACTTGATCACAAACCTAAAACAACGCTTTGGAGCTATAGAATCGTTAAGGATGTTGGCCAAGGCCACCCTTTTGGATCCCAGATTTAAGACACTTGCTTTTGGCAGTGCAGTCAACGCTGTTGCTGCAGTGAAGGACTGTGTTACTTATACAGCCATCTACTTCAGCAGCAACAAATTCAGCAGGAGGACTGGGAGATGGAGGAGAACCTATGGACACTTGGATAATAAAATAAGTGAAACACAAAAGGTCCAGTGTCACTGCAGATGCAACGGTTGAAGTACAGCGATACTTAAACACATCATATGTTAACGGAACAAGTGATCCACTGGAGTTTTGGGCAAAACATCAAACTTTCTTCCCTCATCTTTTCCACCTTGCCAAAAAATACTTGTCAATACCAGCTACTGTACATCTGTGCCATGTGAACGAGTTTTTGTCTAAAGCAGGAGAAGTTCTATGCAAAAAAAAGAAAGAGTTTGAATGCTAAAACACTGGAGTAACTTCTATTCTTAAATAAAAACTCATTATGGTATTTCTGTCTTGTTTTCTTCTTGTCACAGTTTTATTTTTTCAAACACAACTTCCCTTTCACACACACTTATAAGGTTTGAAAACATATGTAAAAGAAATAAAGAAATGCATTCTTGCCAAGCATACCTGAACCTTAAAATACAGCTATCATCCTCCTGTTGAGTCACAACATTACCCCTTTACTTTGCTAGTGTTTTATTGGCTGCTGTATTTTGTAAATATAAACAAATTTTGATTTTGATGGCTGCAACACGCTCCAAAAAAAGTCAGTACAGAGCCAAATAAAAGTGAAAAGGTTATAGAATATCCAAATTAAACTGTTTTTGAAACAGTTCACAGCAAGCAGGTGAATTGGTAATAGGTGAGGGGATCATGTTTCGGTATAAAAGGAGCATCTCTGTCTTTTCAAGGAAAGCTCTTCCCATTCCGCTCGCCATTTCTCCAATATGTATCTGTTGATTACTGACTTCACATCAGAAGGTGGGATTTGGCGTTCATTTATTTACATTTTCTGTAAGAGCTTGCTATGTCAGCTTGTTCGTTTCCAATAATTCCACTATGTCCTGGAATCCAGCAGAAAACAATATCATAATTGAGTCTCCACAACTGATTTGCTTTGATGAATATGTCAACAATTATTGGATGATTTGTTTTCAAAGACTCCAGAGCTTGCAAACAGGATTTTGAGTAAGTGAACACTATGACGTTTCTTTCTTTTGCTTTTTCAATATGATCAAGAGCAAGTAATAGAGCTTGGACTTCTGTTGTAAAGATGGAACAGTAGTCTGGGATACGAAAGCCATAGTGTTGATGACCGCTTACTAGTGCTGCAGATAACATGGTTATCCATTTTTGATCCATCAGTGCATATAGGATTATGACTGGGACAAAGGCTTCTTATGTCAAAACATGTTGACGATATATATACGGGTAGGTTTCACTCTTCTTATTGCAGGTCAATTCCTAATTGATATATAACTTTTCTATACTCCAAGGTGGAACTGAACAAAGGAGATTTTGGTTTAGGAGATCAAGATTTATGCCCATATTATATGTCTAATATATCTCAGATAGTCAAAAAGACAGTGGGAATGTGTGCTGTGGTCAAATGAGTCAACATTTCAACTTATTTCTGCAAAAAATGGACGTCGAGTTCTCAGTCCCAAAGATCAAAGGAACCATCCAGACTTGCATCAGTGACAGATGCAGAAGCAAACGTCTGTCATGGTATGGGGGTTTATCAGAGCAAACAGCATGGGTGACTGGAATATGTGCGAAGGTACCATTGACATGGAGGCATATATTTTTTGAATTGTACATAGACAAATACTGCCATAAAGATGATGTCTTTCATAGGAAGTTAATGGTTATTAGATCAAGACAATGGCAGGTCTCATTCTGCATGTGCTACAACAGCGTAGCTTCGTAGACAGAGCGAATGTGCTGGACTGCAGTCCAGAGCTGTCTCCTATTGAAAATATATGACCAGTTATGAAAAGGAGAATAAGTCAATGATGATCACAGACGAGATTGGACCAAAATTTTGCTTGCATAACTTTAACAATTAGTATCCTCAATTCTCAAACAATGAAACATTGTAATTAAAAGGAAAGGTGATGTGACACAGTGTTAAACATGCCTCTGTCCCAACTTTTTTGGAGTGTGTTGCAGCCATCAACATTTTTTTTAATTTACAAAATAAAATTAACTTGGCCAGTGAAAACATTGAAATTTTTTCTTTGTACTTTAGCCAATTAAATAAAGGTTAAAGAGAATGAACAAATAGAATATGCTTGATTTTATGGCATTTCAAAAACATCCCAACTTTTCTGGAATTGGGGTTGTAAATTAAGCTGGATGACATCACTGTAGAGCTTCTGCTTTACAGCATTAACACTACTGAATTTAACTGAGTCAACAGCTGAAAAACGACACTGCTGTTTGTTGAACGGTCTATAGCTGAAATGAACTCTTTTCAGACTGATGAACTTCACACTGTTATTGATCTGAACTGAACCAACACTGGCTTGCTTAGTTGGGGTCTGAAAGACGCTTTTCTATAATTGGACTGACTGACACCATCGGATGAGAACAAAACTTGAACTAAATTAAGATGGATGACGGCACTATCGTCTTCTGTAGAGCTGCTTTTGCTTGCATCTTGCAACATCGACACCGGTATTGAACTTAATTGAATTCATGTTTAACAAACTGGATCTGAATAACAACACTACTGCTTTTTGAAGAACTGTTTACAGCTGATTGATTAACTTTGATTTGAACAAAACCAACATAAACCTGACTTAAGCTAAATAATGACAGTATTGTCTCTTAGAGCTGCTTTATAGCTGAATCTGAACTGATTCTGCATCTCTGTAAAGCTGCTTTGACACTATCTGTATTGTATAAAGTTCTATAGAAATAAAGGTGACTTGACTTGACTATATAACCCTTTCATCTACATGGTACAGGAAAACAGATGACTGTTGTTTTGTAATAATTTTTATTAATATAAAATTAGCTACAACATTTAATTAGTGATGCACATTATATTATGCAAGAATTAACATAAACTCTGAATTAATATTGAATAATATATGTACATGATATAATTCTGTTACATCTAGGCATACACATAGCATATTACCTTAAATTCATTTTCAAATAAATTTTTACATATGTGTTTGACAATAAAGTGTTTGGCCACTTTTTTATCCACCTGCACATCAGCGTTTGGAGTAGACCACATCTATATGAAGAAATACAAAATATCAGTTAGATATAAGATATGTGACCCTGGAGCATAAAACCAGTCTTAAGTCGCTGGGGTATATTTGTAGCAATAGCCAACAATACATTGCATGGGTCAAAATTATTGATTTTTCTTTTATGCCAAAAATCATTAGGATATTAAGTAGATCATGTTCCATGAAGATATTTAGTAAATTTCCTACTGTAAATATATCAAAACTTCATTTTTGATTAGTAATATGCATTGCTAAGAACTTCATTTGGACAACTTTAAAGATGATTTTCTCAATATTTAGATTTTTTTGCACCCTCAGATTCCAGATTTTCAAATAGTTGTATCTCGGCCAAATATTGTCCTAACAAACCATACATCAACGGAAAGCTTATTTATTCAGCTTTCAGATGATGTATAAATCTCAATTTCGAAAAATTGACCCTTATGGTTTTGTGGTCCAGGGTCACATACTGTATATGATAACAGACATGCTCATCATACAGACATTAACAGCACACTAACCTCGATGGTAATCCGGATGCACATTTTCATAGATGGGATACAAAAGGTTCTCCTGTTCACTGCGCAGTTTTCTTGCACGAAGCACATCTCGCACGCACTGGTAGAGGTACGAGTACTGGCACTAGTGCAACACACATGACAAATAAATTTGATTTCATATATTTGTGTCTGTGTGTATTCTCTCTGTTTCAAAAGCAGTAGTGTGTTTTACAGATGAGCACTCACCTCTGTCTGCACCATGTGTGTGCGATGAAGCCTCAGATCAAACACAGCACTGTAGATGTCCACCGTGTCTCTAGTGTCCAGCTGCTGAAGGACTCTGTCAAGAGCAATAAAGGTTCCGGTGCGCCCCACTCCAGCACTGTCAGGGATAATAAAAGTTCACAGAGATAAACACTCTTCCTTCAGTGGAAGATATATGTACTAGATATGCTAAAGTTGCTTAGTAGCAAGTATACTAGATCTCCATGGGCAGAATATTCTGCTTTGCTTTCTTTGAGTTATGTTTGTCAATTAAATTAAGACAGAAATTTGCAAGCATTTGAACAGACATTTCCATTTGGGACAGTGCCTAAGTCAGGGATGGACAACTTCAGTCCTGGAGGACCACTGTCCTGCAGAGTTAGTTCCATCCCTAATCAAACACACCTGCCTCTAATTTTCAGGAAATCCTGAAACATAGATTACATTCCTCAGGTGTGTTTGATTAGTGATGGAGCTAAACTCAGCAGGACAGTCCCACATTCCTGGCCTAAGTGGTTTCTTAGGCTGCGTTTACACTTTGCATTAGCATGCGATCACCGTGATCCGATCAAGCAGATCGGATCATCAGTCAATCAGAACACGGCGCGTTTACACTTGGCAACATCAACTGACTTTTCTATCTGGGTAACCGATCGGATCTGTCTTCCCCGCGCAATATTTAAATAAGTCTGCAGAGAATGGCCCAGTGCAAAGTCAACCTGAAGTGTTGGGTTTTTGTTTGAAAAGCATTTTCAGTCGTGGGACATTTTACAAATCAAAGATAAGTGTAGGAGTCTCACTAGCGCTCCACACGGGTGTTCTCTGTCTTTTTTTCTGACAGTTTGCGAGAGAGGGGGCGGTGTTTTGCGTGATGTTGACCTGCGAATGCAAACACGATGGCTGGATTGCGTTTACATCACACTGAGATCTGATCACAATGCGTCCTCGACTACCTCTGGACCAGGACACGGTGATCGGATAACATTCCGATCAGAAGTGCGTTTACTTGTCTTTTCAATGTGTATATGGACAACATCCGGATACAGGTCACATGTTAATGCCAAGTGTAAATGCAGCCTTAGACTACACATTACTATGATCAAGGTAGTGCTGTAAAAATGACTGTCCACCTGCAGTGCACTACAGTGGCTCCAGAGAAGGGCGTCCGGTTGATATAGTCTCTCACAGTCCGCACAAACTGAATGAGCGACTGCGTGATCTCTGGAACTCCGTGATCCGGCCACACAGTGTAGTGAAACTGACGCACCACTCGGGAATAGCTCAGGTGTTCCTCCTGTACAGACATGCCACACAGCTCATTAGTGTATTCCTATTAGAACTCATCTGTGAGGAACAGAGACATTATACCCACATTACAGATCTTGAATTCTCGGATGGTCCACTCGGGCAGCACAGATTCTGACTGCATCTGAACTACCAGATCCCCATAGTACAGCGGCTCCTGATCAAATGGCCAGTAGTGGTCACACTTCACCTAAGTACGAGAGTCAAACACAAATTCATTGAATTAATGCCAAGAGAACCACATGAGCAGAAGAATCATGTGTGATCATATGCACATACCCTTCCTTTCTCAACACACTGTGTCACCATAACTATGTTGTGAACATTCTGCTCCCAGACCATCTTCCAGAAATCATCTTTTGTGCCGGGCAAAGGACCCTGAGTCGCTATATACTCCCGTCTGAAGTTATTGCCCTTTATAAGAAACAATGTGATATGTTTAGTTAAGTGTCATTGGTAAGCCTTAGGACAGAAACATGTACTTGCAGTATATTTTTTGCCAACTCTGCCCACCATTGCTTAGATATTTTACATTTAATACAAATAGAATATTACTTCATATTTATACATTGTGTGAATAGCAACAGTTACTCTTTACACTATATTTGTTGCTATTTTTTACTTGGTGTGAACTGTACACTATTTACTGTATTTTTTATGAAATTTTGTGTCAAATGCTTTTAATCAAAATGTGTTATTTATATATATATTTTTAGCTTTCAGTTCAGTAGTTTAACATGATTTTGTATCAAAGACTTTTGACTATTGTTATTAATGTACTTCCATGGCCAAAGATCTTACAGGAACATAACTGGCATTAATATAATCTGAGCAGGAGTCATCATCAACATAGGACAGCTTCACCCGTGTAGAATCATCTGTTCAAAGAACACATCAAAATACGTTTAGAAAAATTATATTACAATAATATTAGATATTTTAACAAATACTCTGATTTGCATAGACATACAAGGCAGTATATTGTTGTAGCGATTTTTGCCTCTGTTTTCAGGCAATAATGCTGCGTCTTGAGGTTGGTTACGACCAACATCCTTCAGGTCCTGAAAGCAGAACAAATGTTTAATGTGTTCATTCTGAAATGAGAATCATTCTAAATATCATGTTATGAAATATGGAGGATATTTTACCTCATATTCCTCAGAAAGGAGGTAGTTGGAGTCTGCTCGAAGTTTAGCTAAATGTGACTCAAAATGTGTGATGCTGATGGGACTGTATTTGGAAAAGACAAAACTATCTTACAATAGATAATAAAAAAATTCAGAATTCATTCAAAGAACACACAGTATACCAAATCTAGAGGCTAAAGTTTGTGAACAAAATTTGATGTTGGCTTGAGAAAGCCAACATGGGCAGCCTTAAGGCAAAAGAGCCAGATCGCACATTTGTTAGGTGTTCTTGAGCTGGCCCCCCACAAAAGTACAACAGTTATTGTTTTCTTAATATTTTTCTATAGACTCTTGCTATTTTGTATTCTAATAAAGAAGCTTATTATGACAACACAGTTGTCAATACCAGACACATTTCACAATTAACAAATTACAAGCAATAGCACAAAAAAGTAGGTGTGTGTGGTGTTCATGTGCAGAAACTGAATAATCAAATGTAAAGTAAAATTGCATAGTCATCAAAAATAGAGTGATCCTTGTGAAAGATACAAAAGTTATTCAGTCATGAGCAATACAGGTGCATCTCAATAAATTAGAATGTCGTGGAAAAGTTCATTTATTTCAGTAATTCAACTCAAATTGTGAAACTCGTGTATTAAATAAATTCAATGCACACAGACTGAAGTAGTTTAAGTCTTTGGTTCTTTTAATTGTGATGATTTTGGCTCACATTTAACAAAAACCCACCAATTCACTATCTCAACAAATTAGAATACTTCAAAAGACCAATAAAAAAAAACATTTTTAGTGAATTGTTGGCCTTCTGGAAAGTATGTTCATTTACTGTACATGTACTCAATACTTGGTGGGGGCTCCTTTTGCTTTAATTACTGCCTCAATTCGGCGTGGCATGGAGGCAGGTGTTTTGAGTTGATTAGCTGATTGGCATGTCACCATATTCTAATTTGTTGAGATAGTGAATTGGTGGGTTTTTGTTAAATGTGAGCCAAAATCATCACAATTAAAAGAACCAAAGACTTAAATTACTTCAGTCTGTGTGCATTGAATTTATTTAATACACGAGTTTCACAATTTGAGTTGAATTACTGAAATGAACTTTTCCACGACATTCTAATTTATTGAGATGCACCTGTAAGTGATTTTCTCTGGGTTTTTTTTTTACATAAAATACAGACAGCAGCTGGTAAATGCGGTCGATTTGATGCACAATCAGTCATCAGACTCATCAGTCTGAAAAGATATTGCAACAAACTACACATCAGGGCCAAGGTCTCTGCCAATTTTGGTGCTTGTAGCATTAAAGCCCTAGGAAGAGGTTTTAGTCTCAGAAGAAGAAGAATTAGTTTATATAGCATAACAGTATGTTGGCTTTCTTAAGCCAACATAAATATTATAAAAATATCCTGCTGCTGCCTCCGTTACAGTATGTAATAATGGAGAAATATGACATAATATAATACTAAAACAATTTTCATGTGTAGCTGGAATTATAATGTGAATTAAGAGCTTCAGACTTAATGTGGCATTCTGTTACAGATCTACATGATGTGCTTTGCTCTGAGATGAAGTACAGTACCTTGAGACACGACGGTTCCTAAAACACAGAAGAAAATAACATTGTAATAAGATATTATTGTTATTTTTATTTAACTGCTATTGTAACCTTTAATGATAATATAAATGCAGTCACTCTTACCCTCTAACAATGACGTGAGTTCCTGAGGGTTGTCTATCTCTTCTTAAACTCATTCTGACCACAGGCTCTTGTGCACTCCTGGTAAAGACAAAAACCTGTCATCACTAATTAATTACTGCCTGATTCTTGTCATCTTCTGTATCGGAATAGATATTGTTCTGTTGCTCAGCCAAAGTCCATCATCACTAACTCTAAACCATCATCAAAAACCCATCAGCTCTAAGTCAAATTGATCATCATAAACCCATAATTACAAGCATATAATCACTGATGTATAATTCCAAAAACAAAAACACCACAAACCTGTATCTACATATCTGTCAAAATTATTCAGTCCCCACTAATTTTTCCTGGCTAACCTGTCATTTCTAACCCACTATAATAGCTTGTCACCACCACAAATGTCTCAGGTTATGACTGTAACTATGGTTCCCTGAGAGAGAATGAGATGGTGCATCAAAACACTGTGGGAACGCCTTTGCGTGATTGCGTCTGGAAGCACGTGTGAAATCAGTCCAATGGAATGGCGGACACTACGCAGGGTTATGTGGTGACCAGGAAGCTTAAAACCACATCCAGAACAAACAGTGTTAACTTCTGATAGGTCGAAGCAAGTCACTCACAGGGATGTAGGAAGTATGGCAAGGCAACGCAGTGTCTCATTCCCTTTGAGAGAACTATGGTTACAGTCGTAACCTGAGGCGATCCCTATCCCGGGAACTTGTGCTGCATCAAAACACTGTGGGAATGACAATACCCATGTTGACAAATGCCAGTCTAGTGTGAAATCATGGTGAGCACAACTAAGACAAGAGCACTTTGTAGAACCGAGGTCTAAGTTGTAGAATCTACTTCTTGTTGAGTGAGCTCAGACCCCCAAAGGTGAAGAAAGGTCAGAGGACTCATGAGCGAGGGAGATAGTCACAATTATCCACCTACTCAACATCTGCTTGGTCGCCGGAAAACCTTTCTTAAGTGGACCAAACCAGACGAACAACTGATCAGCTTTCCTCCACAGGGCAGCTCTGTGGACATAAAAGTCCAGCACTCTGACTAGACACACCAAATTAAGCTTCTCTTGGTCTGGAGTTCTAAATTTGTGCAGTATTAAACCAAAATGTAGTAACAAGAGCATGATACAAGTTATGATAACATACGATATATGGAATCACAAGAGGATTGTTTTGATACTAGTCATGCCAGGGTTGGAGAACATTAAGTCAAGGATTCATTAATAATGATCGCCCTCAGCCCGTGAGGGATGCATCTGTCATAAGCATTACGTGATAAGAAGGAGCTCCCAAGATGTCTCCCAAGGATCCCGTCGATTTGAGTCACAATCTGTTTTAAAATCAGCATTTTGAATCTGAACATCTTGACAGAACAATTTATTTGGAGCAGATCTAAAATCGGACACAACCCCGGCTGTATGAACACGTTCTATGGTCTCCTTCCTCAAGAGAGTGTCTACTTCTTGTTCCATTACCAGAGTGACCCTGTTAAATCGAGGAGGACGAGAGCCAAACTGGATTCTGTTGCCTCTCTCTACAGTCTGCAGGACCCATTGAGACACATTTGGCAGAAGTTTCCACGCTGTTTACTCTCGAAACTGGTCCCTGGTGTGCTTTGAGTAGTCAATTTGACACCCTGAAGTGGATGACCGGCAGGGAACAACAAAACTGGCCACTCTAATAATCTCCTTGAAGAATGCGACCGCCATGCCCCAAAGCACCAGAGGTGTACCATATGATGAGGTGTGCACCATTTCTCCCCAGAGGGGCCTGCCCTCAGAGGCCTGATGCTGCTGCCTCAGGGGCCTGATGCTGATGCTGCTGGACCTTTTTGTCAAAGCCTTCTTAGAAAGAAAGATGGTCCACAGATCTGCCTTCTCCTTCGAAGACTTTGGCTGAAAGTGCCGCCCCGGTCCCCGATCTTTCTGTGGGTGGGGGCTCGAGATGCGAAACTCTGCTTCTGTATTGCCCGGTATGAGGAGCTGGATGACGACTGGGGCTGCTCCCACCCAGCAGCCCCCAAGACCTGAGACTGGTGAGGTGGAGGTAGTGTTGGAACACTGGCACCTGCTTATTAGCCTTCTGAAACCTCTCAACGACCAAGTTGACAGTGTGGCTGAAGAGGCCAGAAGGTGCAAATAGAGCATCCATCAGGAAGAATTTGTCCTTCCATTTAATGTCAGACAAGTTCAACAACAGATGCCTCTCCATGGCCACCAGGGCTGCCATAGAACGACCGATGACTCTGGCTGTCTCCTTGGTGGCCCGAAGCAGGTCTTTGATTGTGTCCGGGTCTACCCCCTCACCTTCATCAAGGTCTCAGGTCAGCCTGGAATGCCTGCAACACAGCCATTGTATGCAGACACGCACCAGTGTGACCCGCTGCCATGTAAGCCTTACCCAGCAAAGACAATATGACTGAATATGGTTTATTCCACGATCTCGACACCTTGGTGTGGCAGGCCCCAACATGGAGGCTGACTTAACACACAGGAAGCATTCATCCATTTCTTTCCCAATATGTTTATTGACCTTTTCTTATTTATAACCCCACACCAACAAGACATACAGTAACAACAGAACACCAGAACAGGTACACAAGCACTCACCCTTCTATACATACATATTCAACTTACACTTAAATAAATAAACTAAAGAACAATAACACAGACTAACTTATACTCTAAAGAAATGAAAAAAGAAAAAAGAAATAAAATAAATAGATAAATTGGTAAAAGACAGTGTTTACAATGTCAAGTAAAAGTCAGTACAATGTAAAGTAAAATCTACATTTCCATTTTACACGATGTTCATGTATGGTTCCAAAAGCTGATCAAAGTCTTTCCACTTGCCCATAGCAATATAAGTTAATATAAGTCTCTACAGTCCAATACAGTACAATATCTCCTTTTTCAACATTTTCAAGGATGGAGCATCTATACTCTTCCAGCATAATGCATTAACTCTTGTAGCTTGAAGGAGACGAAATCTAGGAGTTTAGTCTGTTTCGATGTAAAGTCAAAATACAGAGTTTAACATTCAAAGAAATCCTAGTATTGAACATGTCCGACATACATTTAATAACCTCTTTCCAAAATGTTGTATTTTTGGACATTCCCAAAGGCAATGATGTAATGTACCTTTATCATCCAAACATTTAAGCAACTTAAATGTTTGGAGCTTAAAGGAAGCTCCTGTCGTCAAGTCAAATTCCTTGTGTGTGTAAACATACTTGGTAATAAAGCTCTTCTGATTCTAGAGCACACATCTGCAATGTTAACAGACATATGAAGTTTAACAGGAATTATATAGGTTCTCATTAACCATTTATATTGAAGTAATTTAAACCTAGTATTTATTGTCTGTGTTTGTGCTTTAAGACATGCATCATTCCAGTCTGCCTCATATCTCCTTACATATCTATTTTCCAGGCATTTAATTTGTCCAATGTTGATTCAGTACTGTGTTTGACCATTAAATTGTAATACATAGATATGTCACCTTCCTTCTAAATTTCCAAGAGTTTTTTCCTCTAATTTTGATAAAAATGGTATACAGCTTATTTGATCCTCTTTTGATGACATGAAAAAAAGAAAAAAAAAAACCTTTTTGGGGGATTGTATATTTCTTGCATAAATCATCAAAAGAAAGTAAAACGTCCCAGGTTATGTATGTAACCATGGTTCCCCGAGGGAACGAGACGCTGTGTCGGAAAACGCTAGGGGAACCCCTTCAGCGATACCAAGCTCTGACTCATATGTGTAATCAGTCCAATCGATGGGCGAGACGTCAGAGGCGGGGGACGTCATGACCAGGAAGCTTTAAAAGCACGTGAGGTGCCGCCGGTGTTAGCTTCTAGGAGTGCAGCAAGCTCTAGTAGGGATGCCGGAAGTATGGCCTTGCGACACAGCGTCTCGTTCCCTCGGGGAACCATGGTTACATACGTAACCTGGGACGTTCCCCTTCGGGAACTCGAGCTGCGTCGGAAAACGCTAGGGGAACGAGATGTCCACGCCACCAGATTTGCAAATCCCTGCCTAGTGTGGAAGAGCACAGCTATGGCAAGAGAACAGAGGGGCCTGGAGTGGCTCGCAAATCTAGGTCATAGAACCTGACGAATGTGAGGGGCGTAGACCATCCCACAGCGTTGCAGATGTCCTGCATAGGAACACCTGCCAGAAAGGCCTTGGAGGCCGCCACACTCCTTGTTGAGTGAGCCTTGACCCCCAATGGTGAGGGGAGATCAGAGGACTCATAGGCAACAGTAATGGCATTCACTATCCACCGGCTGAGGGTCTGCTTAGCAGGATGACCTCTCTTAGGGGGACCATAGCACACAGCAGTTGGTCCGCTTTTCTCCACAGGGCAGCTCTGTGGACAGGGTATAAAAAAGCTTTGGCCAGACCGGGCGCAAAGTCGAGATAGGAAGGAGCCACAGAAAGGGCCTGCAGATCCCCAACTCTCTTTAGAGAAGATATAGCTAAGAGAAACACAGTCTTTAACGTAAGAAGACGATCTGATATCTCCTCGATCGGCTCAAAGGGAGGCCTACAGAGAGCTTCTAGCACCACAGTGAGGTCCCAAGGAGGGACACGAGATCGTACCTGAGGTCTCAGCCTCATCACACCGTGGAGGAAACGTGTAACCAGGGGCCAGATCCGAGAACCATACTCGGCCCGGCCAGAACGGGGCTACTAGCAATAGACGGACCCCGTCCCAACGCACTCTCTCTAGAACTCCTGGGAGCAGAGTGATAAGGGGAAAGGCGTACAGACGAAGCCTCGGCCAAATCTGTTCATTCGACAGGATGTCTGCTCCCAAATTGAGATGCCCAGGAATGTCAGAGCCTGCTCGGGACCCACCAAGGTGGGAAGAACACCACTGAAGGGAGGAGGAGGAGAACCAAACTGGATTCTGTAACCCCTTTCTACAGCATGCAGGACCCACTGAGACACGTTTGGCAGTAGTTTCCACGCTGCTAAATAGTCTACTAAGGGAATCAGTCTCTCGAGAATGATCTCTGGTGTAATGAGAGCAGCTAGTTCGGTGCCCTGTAACGGCGGACCG